AAAGCAGAGGCTCTCTGAATCCTTTGGATCCCCAAGATCCTCAGACGCTGCCCATGTTTTTTTAAAGAACCGGAGCCTCTGACCGGAACATAGACGGCTTGCGTTATTTTCTCTGTCACGTTTCAGCTGCTTCTGCAAAAAAACCCGAAGCAAAATAAGCTGCTAATTCATAGCGAGCAGTCTGCAGCCCCGAGGCCCCGCGAGGCACCAGCCTGAGCTCTGCTGAAATTCCAATTTGGGGTACACAACAAAAGAATGAGCTGAAGGCATTAGCGACGATTTAAAATTCCTCACCAGGAAGCAGGAAGTGGCGTTCCCTTGAAAAACCCTCAGGAACTAAAAAAGAAAACATCTTATCTGTTAGTGTGAAGCCAGACACTGGTGTGTAGGTGGTGTAAAAGTGGGATTCCAGGTTATACCGAATGAATAACTAAGTTTATGTGGACATTTTAGGGGTTTCAAGACTAATTCTGGTTTGTCTGGGAAGGTTTGGGGACGTCTAACCTGGCAGTTTTTGCCCGATCGGACAAATTAATCCCAAAGAGACAAAAATAAGTATCGATACTAAAATGTTGTATCCGGATACGATACTCATTTTCAAAAGTATTGATACTACCGCGCGACGCAGACCTGCCGTCGCTGCGCCCCTTTTCTCTGATTTATTTATGTATTTATTTACGTTGTTTATGGTCATTAACAAGACGTTAGCCTTGCTAGCTGCGGCTAATGGCTAATAATAACATGCTACCATTAATCAAGTACATATCCAACTTCGCCCACATCCAAGTCGGCCAATTAAACTTTATACATATTATGTTAAAATAGTGTATATTAAATCGGTTTGTACAATAAGTCCAAACAAGTTTAACCAAAAAATATTTATTTCTCACAATTATGAAGGCTGGAGGGTTAGGATTAGGGTCATTAATGTGGGCCACCAGTCACGATAACATCAGTAACAGGTCAGTTTGAAATGAAAGACACAATTCAGTTAAATTTTGGGGTCTTTGTTTTTATCCTTGTGGTATCGAAAATGGTATTGAGTATCGAGTATTTTCCTGAGTATTGGTATCGAGTTGAAAATTTTAGTATCGTGACAACCCTGATAAAGAGCGAGTGAAACTAAGCGGTGTTACTCCTCTTGGGATGATCTTGACCCATGTAGATCCAGATCCACGCCGCCATCTTGTCTGGAGCAACTCCTCTCTTGCCCCGTCGCGTCTCTCAGGGGTGTGTCTTGTTTCAGGGCCTCGCGGTGCGGCTGTGCGAGATGGGCCCACCCTATGGCCGTGGGTACACCATAGAGCCCTGGGCGGTGGACGCCATAAAGCGGGTGTGGAACGACCACGGCGTCCAGACCTGCTACGACCGCCGGAGGGAGTTCCAGCTGTCCGACTCGGCCAAATAGTGAGACCTCCTAGCTGTCTCCAACCTTTTCTGGCTATTCTAAAAGTGAGCGTTTAGAGCCTGATAAGCGTTGCTTTACCTTTCAGTTACCTCAGTGATATGGACAGGATCGCCGATCGAGATTACCTGCCCACCCTGCAAGACATCTTGAGGGTCAGAGTTCCCACCACGGGCATCATAGAGTACCCATTCGACCTCACAAAAGTCATCTTCAGGTACTGTACGCGCCTATGTTTCCTCACCCGGGCAGGTTTTCTGACATTTTGTTGAACTAGTTCCCTGGTGTCCTAATGTAATGTGTATGACAAGCTTTGGTCAAAATACCATAAGGATGAAGAGCAATAGCAGTTCAGTCCCCTGCCTAACCCTAACCCTAACCCTAACCCTAACCCAAAACAGCCCCGTTCAGAGCGCTCGCTTTGGAGTGCCTGTCTCTTTAAATGCAAATGAGACACAGGCAATCCACCCACTTCTTCCGGGAGGTGTGCCCACGTCGGGACGCTAACGCTACCATGCTAGCGCTACCACGCTAACGCTACCATGCTAATGCTACCACGCTAATGCTACCACGCTAACGCTACCATGCTAACGCTAACGCTACCACGACGTCTGCCACAGATAGGGGAGTAAGCTGAGGTGGGGGGCAACATGCAGGTGAAAGGCTGGAATATTATAATGAGCTAGAGCTAATGACGTCAGAAACTACCCACTCCTGAAACCTCCTGATTTATCTCCTGGATTCAGACTGAGGCAGCCCACAAAAACATGACTGAGTCATTTTTTTTTCACACTTTGCCTGCTGATAGGCCCTCCACAGTCCCAGATGTACATAATCAAACGATTAAAAACTGGGATTTGCATAATATGTCCCCTTTAAGAAGAGGAAGTTAGTGGGCCCTGTTGGAGGTGTTATCTGAGTCTGAGTCTGAGATTCTGTGATTCCTCCAGGATGGTGGATGTTGGCGGCCAGCGTTCAGAGAGGAAGAAGTGGATCCACTGTTTCGAGAACGTCACCTCCATCATATTCCTGGCGGCCCTGAGCGAGTACGACCAGGTCCTCTACGAGAGCAAGAACGACGTAGGCGCTTTTGTTTGTTCTCCGACCCCTAAAAGGTTTTAGGTTTGCTCCTTTTTTGCTGAAGACGTTCTGACTCTGTTCTCCTCAGAATCGGCTGGACGAGAGCCTGGCCCTGTTCAGGACCATCCTGTCCTACCAGTGGTTTCAAGAGGCCTCCACCATCCTCTTCCTGAACAAAAAGGACCTGCTGGAGGAGAAAATCGTGACGTCACATCTGGCAACTTACTTCCCTGACTTCCAAGGTAAATGAGATGACGCCGTTGTCCTAACGGGACGAACCTTTAGGTGGCAAAAACAAAACAGCCATGGTGTAAAATACTCCAATTCGGGAGGGATTCAATTATCTGGAGACATCTGGATTTTTATATGTTGTCTAAAAATGTTCAGTTCAAGACTGTTTCCTAAAGAAAGACAGAATAATCTTTATAAAAGACCAATTTTTACGTTGTTTTGCTGTGTTCACATCTTGAAGCTAAAACCTTAACCAAACATCAAACTGTCAGACCATAAATTGAAAGAAATGTGACACATGCATTTTCCATCACGATGTGTGGGATGGAGAGGACCCAGACGCAGAACTTTAGCGGCATTAAAAAGCTGGAGGTGCTGCAGAGCGGGACTAAAAATAACCAACAGGTCAAG